GCAACATTTATATAAACTTTCTTCTATCCCATTATTTTTGCTAAGTAGCACTTGTGGGAAAAGTTGAGTGATTTCCTATGATTTTTTCCTCTGCCTCTCCCAGCGCTACCTCCTTCTGTGATTTCACCTGAGGGGATCTTCATTTATTTCTCCTCTTTGATGACCTCTTTCTTTCACTCATATGACCCCCCCTAACGGCCACCATGACGCTTTTGAATAGATCCTTGCTCCCTAACTTATCGAACTGGAAACCCTCAAAACTTGTAACCTCACCAAAAAAGAGTTCGCCCTCTCCCGGTGGTGCGGTTTCCTTCTCTAAAACTAAAATCGTTGATGGTGTGGTTGAATGGGGACTCTCTTGCGGAATACTTTCTTGGTCACCGACCATTTTATTAATCCCTCTTGCTTCCATTCATAAGTCATAGACACTCAAAGGTTCCCTCCAACCTCACTCTCTTAGTGAGGGGTTTTTCATTCTAAAATTTTCATCAATCATTGATTATGACATGGCCTTGAACTAGGAGCCTTGGTTCTTCCTCGGTAAACCCTTTATCCTTCAGAAATGATCTCCCCATTTTTAGGCCCGAGTGTGATGAATTTTCATCGGTTCCTCTCTGGGTTAAGTTTTATGACCTCCCCCTCTCCTACTAGAACCCAGAAGAAATCTCCAATACTGCAAGCACTATTGGGACCCCTCTTACTGTAGACCCCCTCATTGTTGAGAAAATGCGCCTTACTTTCACTAGGGTTTGCATCCAAGTCACAAAAAATCTCACCTCCCTAATGAAGTTTGCATTTTCATTGCAAGCAAAAACACCAACCTGCAAGGACCTCACCCATGCCTATGCCATTGACATGTTATGTATTCTCGGAGCTATGGTTAATTTTACCTCTCTCTCATACCCCAAGCTTTTGGTTCTCACAACATTTTTGATAATGAAGGGAATTGTCATAATTTTCTTCATTCCAATCCAGGAGGGATCCGGGTTAAATGAAACTCCTCAAAATTTAGCTTTTATCCCTAGTCAAATAATTCATGGCACCGTGTTAGCTGGCTACCTCCCTCCCTTCCAAACTTTATGTTAAGTATGCTTCCAATTCCCTAAAAGAAAGGCTCCTTCTCTTAGATTAAATTCATTCTATTGTTGATAGCTCTACACTCCCTTAGGCTATCATTGGGGATTTTAACTAATTCAAATATAACTATGTTAAAGCTAATGGTTTGCATGCTCATCACAATAAACTTGGTAATTTTAACTCACTTATCTTTGACACTAGTTTGGTGGATATGTCTTCTGTTGGCTTACATTCATTTGGTTTAACCAGAGGGCTAACCAACCTATCCACATTAAATTAGATAGGACTCTTATTAATGACTGCTCGATGGAACAATTCCCCTCTTCTTATTATAGGGTTGATCCTTTGGGATTGTCAGACCACTCAGCCTTTATCCTTCTCTCTAAGCCTCCCACCTCCAAAGGGCACAAATTCCTCTTAAAGAGCTATTGGGTCAAGATTGAGAGCTTTCTTGATGCCTTAGTGTCCCCTTTTTCCTTGCATCTTATTAGAAACCCAATTTTTGTCTTTTACAAAAAGCTCCACATGTTTAAAAACCTCCTAAAGTCAAAAAATTGGGTTTCCCCTACCCACATTTCCTCTCTCCTACATTCTATCTAACAATGGCAAGGTTCCCTCACCCTCCAACTTAATTTTGGTTGTCTCAACCAGAGCTCTGCATTGGGTACCCACACCCACACTCACCCATGTACCCACCCATACCCAATGGGTATGGGTGGGTGTGGGTACGCCCATGGCCTTGTGGGTGGGTACTCAACATCAGGAGAAAAATAAATTAACATTACTAATCACAATTTATCTTATATTTTTGCTATCCTCACTACATAGTGTGCATTACTAGACCTGTCAATTTCAGGTCATGGGTCGGGTTCGGGTCGAACCCGGAATTGACCCGGCACTATTCGGGTTCGGGAGCAGGGCAGCCGGGCGGGCAGATTCGGGCAGAGCGGGCAGGTTCGATTTCAGGGTCATTCCGGGTCATTTTCGGGTTGCCGGGTCAACCCGAACCCGACCCGGTTTTGCAAACGGGTAGATTTTCCGGACCCAAACCCGACTCGCTTCGGGTTCGGGTCAACCCAAACCCGAAATTTTCGGGTCGGGTCCAATATTGACAGGTCCATGCATTACTTAATCACGCTGCGACTACAATAAATTTTGATATGCATATTGAAAGTTTGGAATCAGAGCAAAGGGCAACAAGCCTCAAGGCCATCAAATTGTGGCAGACCGCTTTAAAAAAAGCATAAAACGTGGGTGGGTATGGCATCCCGAAAGTCACCATGGGTGGCGTGGGTGGGCGAAGCCCGTCCGAGTAAAGCGTGGGTACCCAACCAGGACCCTATATAGGGCTTTGTTAAGAAGGAATTTATTTATACGCAAAATAATTATTACAGCAGGCGGCTATAGTAGCTAGACAAAAAATTCTTTTTTTTTTAAATAAATTAATTAAATTATTTAAAACCTTAATAGTAAAATACTATTTTAGGCTTAAACAAATTCTGAAAAAAATAAAAAATCTAGAATTTTTTTCATGAAAGGAAACAATTAATTTCATGCATATTTATTTTATTTTTAGATAAAATTGATCTTAATTTATTTCCTATTTCATTTTTTTCAATAATAGGAAATTAATTAACTTATGGGAATTAAAAAATTCCAAAAATTAATTAAAAATTCAGATGTTTTCTCTCCAAACCTCTTTTGAAAAACTATAAATACCCCCCCTCATGGGTTAGAGAGAATGCACCACCTCTCTTAGGTGGTCAAAAAATTTCTCCTATTTTATTCTTCATGATCATTTTTTTTTTAATAATTTTATGTTATTGTAATTTTTTAGTTTTTTTTTATTTACCCAATGATGGAAGGCAATCGATGATCATGTGTGATTTAGGTTCTCATTGGACATGTTTTTCCTTTGGTGTGCTAGCCTCTTTGGGTGCTTTGTGCTTGGGCTTACTTGGGTTTGATGTGGGCGGCTGAACTGTTGTCTGCTTGGCTTGGATGTTCGGTTCCTGATCCCCTGGCTTGGCTGTTCGGTTCCTGTTGCTGCTCCCTGGCTTTCCCAGATTCCATAGCCTTGAGTTTGGTTTATGTTGCTATTTCTTTACTTTCCCGGTTCCCCTGGCTTTAGTTGTTCAGTTCTTGTTGCTGTCCCTTGGCTTTCCCAATTTTTTGGTTGTTCGGGTGGGGGTTCTTTCATGCCTTTAATGCTGCATTTTCTTCCCCTTTTTGGTTGGTTGTAGGGGGCGGCTGTGGCTGGCTGTTGGCTCCTTTCTTTCCTATTTATAAGGGAGTTTTGGGCTGTTGTGAGCAGTTTTTTGGAAGAGAAAAATAGTCTAAAATTGGAGGGTTTTTTCTCTAGCTTGAGAGCTACTTCTTCCCTACTTATTTCTTCTTACAAGTCTTCTAACCCTTTCTTCTCTCCACAAGTTTCCACCCCAGTGTATTCTTCTTCTAAAAGTAAGAGTGGTGTTGGTTGGTTGATTTTTATTGGTATTTTCCAAAGGAGTTGTGGCGAATGTTGGATCAAAGTTGTTGTGGTGGACCACTAGTTTGCATGTCCTTGAGCATTTTATTTACATATGAAGTGACCACTAGCTGATTGTTCTGAGGGTATTTTCTTTTAGTTTTCTTTCTTCTTATAAAACAATTTTAGTTTGTTTAATGTTGTTTGGGGATTTGCTTATTAAAGTTTTGGATCGAGTCGTGTTCTACTTCCTTTTGTGTTCTTCATTGGGCTTAAAACTTTCTAGCTCCCATCACAAACTAAGGAGAAATCAAACTTGCAAAAATTTAAAAGTTTTTGGTGGTGTCGATCAAGACTTGGTACTCTTACGTAGGCTCCGATTTACTTTCAATGGGGGAAAAATTATCCGGCAAGAGTTTAAATACTGTAAGCGGAGATCAAGGTCTGATACTCCTACGCATGCTCTAGTTCACTTCCATCGTGAGAAAAGCTGTCTAACAAGAGTTTAAATATCAGTGACAACGATCAAAGCCCGGTACTCAAAGAAAAAAGAAAAAAAATAACTATTTTGATTCTATAAATATTGTGCAAAGCTTGTAATACAAAATTAAAGAGAATAATTCTTTTACTTCGAATTTTTCTCTCTTTATGGTATAAGAGCAGCCTGACCTAATCTAGCTTTTTCTTTCCCACATGGTTGGTTCTCCCTCACTTGTCTCCTCCAAACTCAATTCTCATATTATTCTTAACATATTTGATAAATCTCAAGCCCTTGTTGCAATCAACATGAACACACAAATGAGGCTTACCACCTCTAATTACTTAGCATGGTGATTTTAATTTCATACAACTCTAATTAAATATGACCTCATGGGTTTTATTGATGAATCTTATCCATGTTGGCCAGACAGCCACAACTTCTAAACACTAGTGACGGTTCCACTTCAAATCCTCCATATTCATTATGAATTCATCAAGACCAACCCTTAGTGTCATTGCTAGTTTCATCTCTAAATTTAATATCTTTTATTTATTGATCTCACACATCACAAAAGTCCTAGAATACTCTTGGCATTACCTATGCCAAGCTATCTCGATGGCATCTCTCTCAACTAAAAGAAGGCCTTCCTCTTATCATCAAAGGAATAAAAATAATCACCGAGTACATGTAATATGTTAAAATTATCACTAATAAATTAATCATTTTTGACTATCCCATTGATGAAGATAACTTCACATTAAAACTTTTTGGTGGTCTCGAAGATGAATATCAAGATCTTTGCTCCACCATATATGTACTAAAAAGTACCATCATTTTTTGAAGAATTATCCAAAAAAACTCATAAACTTTGAAGTCAACCTGAAAAAAAAAAAAAAAAAAAGTTTAATTTCTTCAACACAGCCCAAGTCCCCAAAACCAAGTTCGTCTTCGGACTTCCCGAATTATGCCAGCAGATCGCTGATCAGAAAAATCTCAGAAAGCCCATTCTTAGCCATGCAGTCTCCATAGTCCAGCCCGCAACATTTCCTTTCGCATGGGGAAAGGAAGACCTCGTGCCGTTGAGAAAGGTGTTCTAGGGCACAACTGTGGCGCCGGCGATTCCCAACTCGCCGGCTGTGGCGTTGGTTCCCTCGCTTTACCACCGGCTCCCGTCTTCTACCCCACCGATGACGAGTTCAAGGATCCCTTGGAATACATCTCCAAGATACGCCCCCAGGCTGAAGGCTATGGCATTTGCCGCATCGTACCGCCGAAATCCTGGAACCCTCCCTTTGCCCGCGACCTCAAAACCTTCACTTTCCCAACGAAGACCCAGGCCATTCACAGCCTCCAGGCTCGGCCGCCCTCATGCGACTCGGCAACCTTCGAATTAGAGTATGGTCGGTTCCTCGAGCGTCATCTCGGCAAGAAAGCTAAGAAAAAACTTATATTTGATGGGGCCGAGCTCGATCTCTGCCGTCTTTTCAATGGTGTGAAGCGGCATGGCGGATACGGGAAAGTCTGCGACCATAAGCGCTGGGGTGACGTTGCTCGGTTCATGCGGTCAGACAGGAAAATATCCGAGTGTTCCAAGCACGTTTTGTGCCAACTCTATAGAGAGCATTTGTTTGATTACGAGGAATATCTGTATAAATTGAGTTTTGAAAACAAGAAGGGAAAGAAGTGTAGAGAAAAGATAGTTTGCCATGAAAAGGAGAAGCCATTGAATAGAAAGAGAAGGCGGAGGGATTCTCTTGAGGAGATGAAAGAGTTGAATAGAGGGACGTTAGATCAGATATGTGAACAGTGTAAGAGTGGCTTGCATGGAGATGTAATGCTACTCTGTGACAGATGTGATAAAGGGTGGCACTTGTATTGCCTTTCTCCCCCTTTGGATAGAGTTCCATCAGGTAACTGGTATTGCTTGGAGTGTGTTAATTCAGATAAGGATAGCTTTGGGTTTGTCCCTGGTAAGCAGTGCTCGTTGGAGGAATTTAAGCGGTTGAATGATAAGATAAGGAGGAAATGGTTTGGACAGAGTAATGCAACAAGAGTGCAGATAGAGAAGCTGTTTTGGGAGATTGTTGAAGGGAAGGCAGGAGAGTTGGACGTAATATATGGGAGTGATTTAGATACTTCTGTCCATGGAAGTGGTTTTCCACGTGACGGAGATCCAGTGCTGCCCACAGTTGAGGCTGACGTGTGGCAGGATTATGTGTATAGCCCTTGGAATCTGAACAATCTTCCAAAGCTGCAAGGTTCTATGCTTCGTGTGGTTCATGATAATATAGCTGGTGTCATGGTCCCTTGGCTTTATGTTGGAATGCTTTTTTCATCGTTTTGTTGGCATGTTGAAGATCACTGCTTCTATTCAATCAATTATCTGCATTGGTATGTGCCAATTGTCACATTTATACATTTTGTTCCTATGTTGAATACATATTTATTCTGATTTCTTTTGTTTTCAAATATGTAAGTTTTGTTTAGGGCATCGAAAAGTTATTTTAAATGCCAAGTAAAAAATGTATATTGCCCTATTATTAAAACTGTACATTAAGAAAAACTTATTGTTTTGCGATTGGCTTGAGTTTTGAGTGTTGAGTTGATTGAAAATTCTCAATCAATTGACCCTTGCCTCTTTGCCCATTCTTTGAGATTAGAGGGTCATTTTAGCCCTATACATGTATATCATTGGTCTTTGTTTCCAATGCTTGTTAGCAAATATAGAGATCTTCTCTGTCATTAGCCATTGGGGTTGGCTTTGTGGCCAATACTTGCTAGCGAATATTGAGATTATTATAAGCCTCATTCCCAATATTTTGGTGTTGGTTTTATGAATTCTCATTTTCCATTCGTTTTCCTTTAGTGCTCCATGAGCGGTAATCCTATTCGTCTCAAATATTTTGGCCCATTTTCTATCCATGTTATTCTTGATCTACACCTTTTCCTCTTCAATTCAACATTCATTTAATCTACCCTTCTTACGGAGCATTTCCTACTATTTTTTGTAGACGTCCACATCTTCTAGGTTTACCAAATCTCCATTCTTTTTATTCTAGATTCAAAGTGAAATTCCCTTATGTACAATTCAGCTGTTCTTTCAACTACATTTTATTAAATTTAATTACATGAAATAACATAATTGTTTTTTACATATTTATGGTCCAAAATCTCTAGAGAGAGATGAAATGCTCTTCTTTTTGACATAAGACACTAATTTATAAAACATAATAATTTATTGTTAATGGGGAGTGTCAAACTTAGCTTTGAAAATTGATAATTGCAGCACATTAAAAAAAGTTTAAGCTATGTAGTGAAAGTCATCTAACTACGTAATATTTAGAACTTAGCATTCGAAAAATAATATTCATAGGCAAAATTTCTTCATTATATTATTATATATTTCATATTTTTGTATAATTATGCGAGAATAAGAGAGTGTATTCATAAATACAATGTCATTATATTGTTACTAAGAAAATTTTCAACAAAGGGAAAGAAATTGCATAAGAAGAAGAATGTGGGAAAATATTGGGCTAATACAATCTATTTAACACTGCATCCTTATGCATGGTTTTTTGTTGGCCTAGTTGTCCTAGCTTTGAAAAGCCCTATTTATTATATTTAGCTTTGATGACATTATTTCCACAAAAGAGGGCGGACGAAGAAGGTATCTGATAAAGTGGAGAGGTAAACCAGAGTTAGAAGATACGTTGCTAGAGCGCGAGGAGCTTCAGCAGATCGACCCAGATGCACTAGAGTTCTACGAGAGCTCTCGAGACGCGTACTCGACGGAGTCGAGCTTTTTCTCCACCCTGGGAGAACGATGAGGACATCAGGCCTTGGAAAGTACACCAGAGGCGGGGTCGACGATCTACAGCCACGATCGTGCCAATTTATTTTTGAGTTATTTTATGTATTTTAATTTATTTATGTACTTTTCCATTTATGTCCTTACTTGAGGTATTAGTTATTTGTAAGCCCTCCTCTCCTTTGAGAGCACTAATGAATGAATGATAATGAAATTCTTGCAATCTTGTGTTTGTGTGAGATCTTGAGAGCTTTGGAGAGAAGTCCCTAGGAGAGGGAAACAGATCATCCACCAACCTTGGAAGCGACCGGATTCGTAGTTCTTTGTCCGCTACCTTTTCTCTTCTATTTTCCGGTTTTCCCTTGTCACTACCGGCCCTAACCCTTCCCCACCCCACTGCCAAATTCCCACCCAATCCTCCCCTAACCGCCGGCCATACAACAACTCCCTTTCTCCACCCCAAACCGCCGGCCACCAAGCCCATCATCTTCCCCATCCTACTTCGTTACTTACCTAAAATAACATTTTCTATTTTTGGGAAGGTTTTGAATTCAACCCAAGCAGTTTGAATTTCAAATTCTTTCTATAAATATATAATCTATCTTAGGAAACCGCTCAATCCATTTAAATCTGAATTTAATTCAAATTTAATGAAATCCCCCACATTCATTGAACCTGGACCCTTCCTTCCTCTCCCTCTTTGGCCGGCCCCCCTCTCTCTTTCTCATTAAGTCTTTTCCATTAATGATCTCCTATCGAATCCCTAAATCAAGTCCAATTAAAATTCAAATTGGATTTGATTTAGTCCCTTTATTCCTAATTGAAAATTCTTGATTAGGCAAGCCACAAAACCCCTTACCAAATCCCTCTCTCCCTCCTAATGCCGTCGGCCTACCCCCTCTTTCCCTCTCCCTACTCGCCGCCTCTTTCTACCATACTTCCCTGAATTATTTCCAAAGGAAGAGATACACCTTAGGAAACTCTTAACCCCAATATTGTTGCAGAAGCAATGTGGAATGGTTCATAAGGTGTTTGACATAGTCCTTAAAGATCTATTTTGAAACATATGTAAAAACCAAGGTTTATAGATTTAACTTTGAACAGACAATCTCGAGAGATGTATAGTAGCTTATTTTGTTCATCTGGAGCTCCTCTACAACTTTGGAGAAGACGACAAGGCCAGAGAACGTCTAGATAGGGTGTTCGAGCGGCTAGGATGAACTATCATTCAATTTTTCAATAAGGGAATCAAAGCAAACAAACACTAGAATAAGATACAAGGGATCCTCAATTTGAGAGGAGGATCATCTCTCCCAAATCTCTAGACAAGGAGGTCTAGAGCCCAAGACGCCAAGAAACTTCAAAGAAAATTCAAATCATGCATAACCCTAATCTTTTCGCCAAAGCAACTAATTAAAGACAAGAAACAATTACAATTTTCCTAATCAGTCCCCCTAATTCAAAAAAATTCCCTCCAAAGCAAATTTAATTAATAGGTGGGCCCCTAGGAGCTTCCGCCCCTCCCTCTCTCTCTTTCCTGTTTCCGCCCCACTTGGCCGTTGGCTATACACCAAAATTTATTAGACATATCCCTCCCACCCAACTAATCAATCGAACCTAATTTTCCTTGGGTTGAATTGCTACCCTGAATTTCATAACCTAGAAAAGTGCTGTCTAGAGTTTTCAGACTGCTGTCCAGGAAATTCCGACAGGACGAGCTGCTATCCTGCTCTCTAGAAACCTCCTGCTTGCTGTCCTAAAAGTTTTCATATGCTGTCCAGAGATTCCAGCAGGTTTCTAGTGTCGTTTTGCCAACCGAAAGACTCCCATTTGCTGCCCAAAAGACCCCACACGGCTGTCCACTCGCAGGACTCCTTCGAGATCAGCCATCAAACTCCGGAACTTCCTCATCACATTGCAAATCAGACTTAAGAACTCGACGACGGTGAACTCATTCCCAAGTCTCCTATCTTCCTAGTTTACTTTTCTATCGTGGTTATATTTTGATTCACGAAGACCATGCTAATTCTCCTCCGCTAAAGCTTAGTGATCTAGAGAGTTGAGTGAGGGATCCTTGCATAGTGACTAGTCTTATTGTTAGCATAGAGACTTCTTGTTGAAAACCTCCCACGCATGCAACGATAGAGTAATTGACTGTTTTAATATCCTAACCTCCACGCATGTAACTTGGCCTAAGCTTGTTTTATCTCCTTATATTTTTATCTTATCGTTTGAATCAATATAAGTTTTACTTAATGTTGCTCTCTAAAATTTAAGCGTGCAAAATCCTACATCAAATATCATCTAACCATTACTTGGCATCAGACTCTTTCTTCAAGAGTTATCTTTTGTATTAATTCTTCTAAGTCATTCCAAAATTTTAATTTTGAACTCATATCCAAACCTACTTGAGGAGCATAAGCACTTATAATATTAATAATCTTAGCATCAACAACAATCTTTAAAACTATAATTCTATCTCTAATTATGTTAATTTTTATAACATTATTCTTCAACTTTTATCTATAATTATACCTACACCATTTCTAGTACGACTCCTACCCGAATACCATAATTTATATCATAAACTATCAATCTCCTTATTATTCTCTCCAACCCATTTAGTTTCTTGAATTCACATAATATTTATCTTTTTATAAATCATAATATCTATTAATTCCATTAATTTTTCTATAAGGGAGTCTATATTACAATTTCTTATTCTAATTTTAGTTTCATGGACTAGCTTCTTTGCCCACATCCGATGTGGGAACACTTGCCTTTTTAACATTGCACCCGAGCGCCAATGTATCGGCCCTTGCACAATTGTAGCTGTATTCAGGCTATGCAGCGCGTCACTTCTAGGGGATGCCCTAGCATTAACACAATTTTTTAAAGGATTCATATAAAACAAATGCAATGCAAACTTTTGGTGAATATGAAATCCACCATCTAAGTTCAATTTTGGTATATTTGGAATTCTTCAGATTTGGTTGGTCTCCAAATACACTATAAACCCACTGCCAACAACCAACATCGCCGCCACCTCTTGCCTCCATCGCCACTGCCATCGCCGTCATACGCTACCGACTACTACCTACCTTCAATTTTCACTATCATCGACCACCATTACTAGCCACTTCCCACCTCCTATTATAGCCACTGGTCACCTTCGGCCGCCACTGCCGCCATTTCTTGTCGTTGCCTACCACTATTAGCCACCGGCCCACCTTTGGTCGTTGTTGTTGCCGATGACCACCTACCACCTCTAGAAGTCCATCACCACCATCAGCCACCACTGCCCTATCAATGACCATTGACGACCACTATCTTTAGAGTTTACACTACATTTATTTTGCTTTAAGCTAAACACAAAAAAATCATCTAAGTTTATTTTGCTCTCATCCAAATAACTTCAAAGCATTTTAAATAAACAAAATTTCTTTTCCATTGCATTCTTTTTTCAGCCAATTAAATAATCCCTAAATAATATAGATTTTTTTCTCTCATGCTAATCGAACAAGGAGGAAGAATAGTAATGCTTTACATTCCAATCTCCGAAACATCTACCATAAAACCC